CTTTTTGTTATTGTCGTTCTTTAGATATGTAATTTTTGATATAACGTTATTGGAATTATCCTGATTATTTTTCACGAAACCTGTCAAACACTGAAGAAAAATACAAACACAGCAAAGGCTGTCCCGCGGTGCAAAGAAACAGCCACAATAAACAAAATATAATAAAATTCTTTTCGACGATGAAATTTTAATTTAGATTTACATGCTAATGAGGAGTTTAGTCTGCTTCGAAACGTCATGGTATATTATTTCTCTTCTATGGTGTGTGTGGTTCATTTTTATTAAATTAATACCACTCTATCTTTAGCTAGTTACTTACTAGATTTACTAGTGTGAGATCCCTTTTGTACTTTATATGGTACTTACGATTTCGGTTTACGCAGGATTTTTATCTCACTTAGATATGTCCTAATAACTCAGATCAATCAACTGGAATCTTCCCATAGTATTCTAGCACTGCCGCGATTAGTACAGGTTCGGGCGGACGAAGAGCAAACACCGCATAAACCCTGGTACACACGTGGCTGATTCCTTTTGTCTGAGAAGCAACTACCAAGTGCGGACCCAGGCGTAAGGGGAGAAAAGGAGAGGGATGATAGTTACCATGCCGGTATTAGCGTCTTCAAGTAAATGAGATAGACTTGATGTGGACTGCTTGCGAAGAGGGGAAAGGGCCAGGAAGTGCGATGATGTAAGGATGGACAACAGTAATAAATTGGTGAGGGCGGAAATTCTTGGAAATTTAGAGGTAATCGATGGATATGGATTGCTTCTAGAAACCCTGTTATAGTCGAGGCGTTGGTTGAGGGCGTGTGGGTTTATACATTTGTTACATGTCCATTACATCTTTTTTATATATACAGTTATTTAAAAGTTATTACTATATGATGTAATCCAGCTACAGTATATGTGGTATGTGTTATGGTTCTTAGCACGCAGCTATAAAATGATTTTATGTGCTTGTCTACGTGTGAGTATGGCTACATGTGGCTATATGTACACCTGAGAAATATTCATATAATAGGACGGCTCCTTGTCAGTACTGATGTGTTTTCGTTTCCTTTGTAATTGCAGATGAAAAGGTACTTAATGGTATAATTCAGTTTTATTTGTCTAGAACTGTCCTTGACTGATGATGAAACACCTAGCAATCTGTATGGTGATTGATACCTTGATGAGTCACTCTAAATATTATATCATTGTTTTGGCGTTTTAACATGTTTATTGCTAAACATGCTTATATATAAGCGACTGTCGGCAGTGTTGTTTGCTGTATGTGTGCGTCTGTGTTCTAGCTGTACACACAGCTCTTAAGCAAATAAGACGGGAATCCACAACGTTGCCCTGAAATGACACACACAGAATGGCACTACAATAGTCGCCACTGATATCAATCACCAGTCCTAAATTTGGCCAGTTTCACTTACCTGTAGAACATGATATGATAATATGCAGATATGATAACTGCTATCACTCAGTACCATTACACCGTCCACAAATATTTGAATTTAAAGGCTTCCACTAATGAGGGCTGTGGAGATTATATCGTATATCTTATGGGGCCACAGAACAGATGGGGTTTGAAAGCCCATTATTAGTAATGATGATGTTTTTATCAATTTGTGAGCAGTATTTTTGGTAGCATCAGTGACTTTATCATTAATGATATTGTTGTTGAATATTGTAATTATTAGTTTAGTGCTTTCAGATTATTGTCTTTTTTAGGTTCATTATGATAGAAGTTACTGTAAGAGAAGCATTATTTAATTGTTGTTGTTTTTCTAACACCCCATGATTAATGTTTTTGTTTCTTGCGATCATTTTCATCTTATTCATCATATATCAATCATCATAACTTCCCTTTTTATGGGTTGCGTGTCATTGAGATACAAAACTCTCCGGCATTTTCCACCCCGTTTCACTACCACACCAACACGATTTTGCAGGTTTCGTAAAATCTTTTTCCTTGTAACCACAGTCACCTGATATTCTCTTCTTTTGAGCAGCTCGATAAGAATAGATATCAAATCGAAGCAATTTCAGATTTTTTTTTGTGGGCGTGAGAAACAATTTGTACGTGTAGAATATAGAAATGGACTGTGCATGTCGGATTTTGCGCCAGGCTATATGAGGCTTCGTGAAAAGATGAACAAAAACGGATATAACGTATATGAGACCAGCCGTTCGAATAAGGAAATATGGGTTTAATGTAACAGGAGTGATGTAACAGGAGTGATGGATCTGTTCATTGGTGCCTATATACATACATCCACAAATACATCCGTAATGCGCCTGTTTATATATCAGCCCCACTACCTACTTGTCTTTCTATGTGTCTATCTGCCTCTCTATCTGTTCATCTACCCATCTGTCTATACATTTATCCATCGACCTACCTATTTATTGATCCATCTCTTTCTCTCCCTATGCATTTATGTTTATATGTGTGTGTACGTGTGTGTGTGTGTGTGTGTGTGTGTGTGTGTGTGTGTGTGTGTGT